CATTACTAAATTTTGATCCCTGAAATCTTTGGTAATACCAATGTTCACTTTGTCTGGTTTTGTTGCAGTATGCCCCATATTAGGTTTTAGGCATGGGTTCAGTATTAGTATTAATATTAGGGTTACGCGGCCAGCCCTGATACGTAGCGACAACTAATCGTGTAACTCCCCAATTTTCTGATTTATTAAAAAGGAAACGAATCTAGTTAATTGAGATTTTATCTTTAATTTAAGTAAAAAATTTCAACTTAAAAATTCAAGAAAATTCAAATATTCAAAATGGTTTTAGAAGCAACAATGATCGTGTATGAAATCTGTTTTCTTTATTTTACGATTATAATGATTTTAATTAACATTATATATAAAATATAAAGATTGGATAATTCAGAATGGATGCGTAATGGTGATTATACACCAACTAGACTTGAAGCACAAAAAGATTGTGTAAATCTTTTATTTGGATCAAAAATTCAAGCTAACCCGGAAAACACTGTAGGTTTATTGACTATGGCTGGTAAAGGGTATATATATATATATATAAACATTTCTGTCATATATTATATCAGATTTAGTAATAGCTAATTAAATTTAACAAAAATTTTCTACACACATATATTCACTTAGTCCAGAAGTTCTTGTAACTTTAACTTCTGATGTTGGTAAAATATATTCTGCATTACATAACATTAAAATCGGTGGAAAACCAAATCTAACAACTGGTATTCAAGTTGCACAGGTAATCTACAACTATTATGATAATAATTAATATGGATCACTGTTATTGATTAACATGATATCTAATTTTGTAATAATAATTACTATTATTATTATTTTCTTTATTTTTTTAAAAAAATATATAGCTTGCACTTAAACATCGACAAAATAAAAATCAAAAACAACGCATCATAGTTTTTATTGGCAGTCCAATTGATATTGAAAAGAATGCATTAGTAACGTTGGGTAAGAAAATGAAAAAAAATAATGTTGCAGTGGATATTATTAACTTTGGAGAAGAATCAGAGAATAATTCAAAATTAGAAGCATTCATAAACGCTGTCAATAGTGGTGATAACAGGTATTAATGATAATCAATCAGCAAGATTAGTAATAATAATAGTATTATAATCGTTGCTAAATTATTACATAATCATTAGTCATATTTTAACAGTTCCACCAGGACCTCATATACTTAGTGATGCATTATTATCATCGGCTATATTAGCGGGAGAAGATGGTGTTCCTGCTGGTTTTGCCGCAGGCGGCGGAAATAGCTTTGAGTTTGGTGTTGATCCTAATCTTGATCCCGAACTTGCTTTGGTAAATATTCATAAATACAATGTTTATATATATAATCTAGTTTTGTTTAGTTCAATCAATCGATCAATAATATATAAATCAATTAACGAAATGAATAATCAATATATAGGCTTTACGTATTTCACTAGAAGAAGAGAAGGCAAGACAGGAAGCTAAAGCAGCAGAGGTATCCACCACTTCAAATTCTAATCAAGAAGCCGAGTCATCAACAATGGCTATTGATCAAACAATCGGAGGCGGCAGTACTGATAAAGCTGAACTTAGTACAATTATTAACACAGAAAATCAAGTATGTTCAATTGATTTAGGGAAGCAAGGAGGGGAGGAGGAGAAAGAGGGTGATAAAGATGTATTTTTAAATTTTTAATGGTGATAATGTTAATATTAATACTGTTGCTATTTAATAACAGACTGATGATGTACATATGGAGGAACTTACCGAGGATGAACAGATGGCTCGTGCATTACAAATGTCAATGCAAGGAGATGGTGAATCTGTAAGAATTATATTCATTTATCTTAACATGATTATTAAATTCTGACTATTATTAATAAGAATTATTTGGGGGGTTTTTTTTTTTTTAGAATGTTAAGATAACAACGGATGATTATAATGTTATGCAAGATCCAGAATTCATGAGTGAACTGCTTCAATCTTTACCAGGAGTTGATCCTAATGATCCACAAATTAGAAATGCTTTACAAGGTTACCCATCATCATCTACAAACAACGACAACGATAATGACAATGAAGAAGATAAGAAGAAAAAGAAGAAAGAGGAAGACAATAATCAATAAAATCATCATTATTATTTATTAATTTAGTAGTAGCAATAGTTATGGTGATATTATATTGCAATTATTATAATCAGTGTTATCGTTCTTAGTTGTAGTAAACGAAATGCTAAAGCAATGTTATTTGATTTTTTCTCACAAAATAAAAAGGAAAAAAATTTTTTTCAGACAAAAATAATAACTCTTAAATCAATAATATTGCATGTATTAATTAAGTTTAAATAAATTATGTATATAGGTAAATGTGATGCATTAAATTTCACAATAGCAACAACGGTTGCGTGAATTTTTTTTAAAAAATAATTCATTCATTAATTTTTTAATTACAAATAAGAAACAATTTTCGTTTATTTAAAAAAAGATTTTTAAAAATTTGCAATTTATTATTATTGTTGTTGTTGTTGTTGTTGTTGTTGTTGTTGTTGCAATTATCAATCTTGTTATGATTATTATGTTTGTTATCATCACCTTGATCTAAAAATTTGGAAAATTTTGTTGGTGACGATTGCGTCCTCCTGATCTGTTTGAACTAGTTGCGATATTAAATTTATCAACCAGCTGTGAATTTAAATGTTTTTTGCATTTTAGAGCAAACTCTATACATAAATAAATATTCACATTTATACTCTTATATAATTTGAATACCTCATTGACACAATTTGTTCCTTTTGTTATGGTAGCCAAGTATGAAGTCAACAATACATCATTATATTCCTAAAAATATTATTTATTTCCCATATAAAAATTAAAAATTATTTTTTGAAGGAAAATAAAAAATTTTTTGATAACTAACTGTTAAAAACTCTTGATTGAAATCTGATCCATCTATTGTTGGTAAACGATTACAAAGTCCAGCGATTTGACGAAGAATATCATGATCTACTGTTGATGGATCTATTTATCAATATATAAATAAATAAATGTTAATAACTCCATCTATCTAATAAAAAGCAAAATTTTATTGATTTTGCTTACCATTCTTGGAATTAACAAGATATTTATGTAGAAGTTTTATTCTGGTATGTAGCATCTTAATTGCATTTCTTTGAGTGGTTAAATGCGCAATCACTTTATCACATGAATGTCAATAAATATTCGTAAATAATGATAACAATTATATAATAACCATAATTATATAGTTTATACTAACGTGAAGATCCTTCACTTCCGTCACCAATAGTTATATGAGCAACATGATCAACAGCAATACGCTCAGCTTCGCCGGTTTCAATTTTGTATTGAGATTTTATAAATAATGTTTGTGCTTGTCCATTAATTATATCAATGATTGATTCGTAGACAGTGATTGGAAGATTTTTAGATGTGACCATCTCGAAAGGATTCATTTGTAAAAAAAGTGGACTTTCATTAAATTCGATCATCTAATAAATAAATAAACAAATATAAATATAAATGTATATACAATTATTAATTAAATGTGTCAGTAACCTGCTTGTGAATTTCTATGTCTTCTTCGGTAGGTTGTATTCCCAAAGTATACCACCCCAAGAAATCAAATTGAGGAAAAACTTGTCGAACTATTTATCGTATTCACCACCAAGAAACAATAATAATAATATTGGAATATTTTTAAATATTTTTAAGCAAATAAAATAAATAAAAATGAATTTTTTACATTGCTCTTGTTTTGTCACAAAATATTCATTATTTATATGAATCCTTCCATCAATTAAATCATAAGCTAATTCATACGAATTAGTAATCTCGACATCACGCCCTGACTGTCTTCCAAGAAGAGCTCCAAGCACCGTTACTATAATACGCATTTTTATTAAATATAATATGTTAGAATAAGTTTAATTAAATAATTCAATAATTCCAATATTATTATTATAAACATTACCATCTGATTGAGTTTGCATTTTTGTTCTTATATAATGATCTGATATATTTAATAGTGTTAATGGATGCCTAATTTTTTTTATCCCCCAAAAAAAAACTTATATAAAAATCAAGAAAGAAATCTGAAGTTCAAATTGAATCCAACAAAATATTTTGATACTAACAAAGAAACCATCAATCCAGAATTATTTGGTGCATTTGAAACAACCGAGGAAGTTGGGACATTGTTGGTAGTTGTTGTAATTGTTGAAGTGGTAGCAGCAGCAGCAGCAGCAGCAACAGCACTGGTGTCAGTTGAGTTTTCTTGTTGTAAAGGAACTTCTTCATTATTAGGCTCGATCTCCATCATTTTTACCAATTTATTTTAAATAGAATCTATATAATTTTTTACTTGATCTAATAATAACAATATCTTAAAAAAAAACCCAATTCACGAGTCTAAAAGTGAGTTTTTTATGTTCAATTAGATGATCATTCAAGCCAAAATTATGTAGGGCGTAGATCTTTGCCTATTACTATTACTATTATTTAACTTTGGAAAGTAAATAAACCCGATAAGTCGGTCATGTCGGGGCGAACCCCTGTGAGTTATCGAATTTCACGTGATTTTTAATTTTAAAATATTTATTTATTTATTAGAAGATTGCGAAATCAACCTTTTTATAAACATAATAAAATTTAATAGGAACACAAATGTTTTTCTTCACATGATATAACTGGAGATAATAATATATTAATACATTTTTCGATGATACAACTGCTGAGATAATAAAATATTAATGCATTATTCATGATAAACCATCAAATGATTAAAGCGAAAAAAGTTCTCTTTTTGAATTACTTGACAAGGAAAAATGGATGTGTGATTATGCATTATAACTGATGGAAGTAAATATAGTTCAAAAGTGAGAATGCTCCCTTCCTTCTTCATTATAAAAAATGAACAATAAAGATAGTTTATTTACACCAGATATTTTATTACAAATAATCATTTTGCTAATGACGAATAAAAAATTATTAAACCACACACATTATTAAAAATAGTAATGATGACCCTTCACATAATGAAATATCACGTGAGACCGACTTATCGTCATTTAATTATACTTGGGCTAAGTGATTGACGACTTAGCGCTTATCGCGATCGAAAAGAGTGAAACTTTTTGGCCAAGTTGGGCCAAAACCGACTTATCGAATTTACATATGTAGTCTCGTTGCAATATTAAGTCATTAGAGATGATTTAATTCTTAAATTTTCAACCTTAAAGGAAAAAAATATATCGCCTCTTTTATAAATATGAATCAGAACACAGTGATAGATTATTGTCTATTAAACTTTTTTTACTTGTAAATTTCTCACACAAAATCTTTAATAAGCTTCAAAATAAGCTATATATGATATATAAAGTTTATCAAAAATAAATCTTATATCAAACTCGAAGCACCAACCATATAAATACTCATTTAACTTCGAAACTCAAAATTTTCAAAAATAAATTTATTTCATTCTCTTTTTCTAAACTAGAAAACCTTTTTTTTTCACACTTTATTTTTTACTCGTCAGAAATTTATTTTACCTATAAAGACTCACGTATAACGCACGCAGAGATATAAAATCAAAAAGATAATAATAATATTCGTTCTTTTCAAGAAAATATTTTTAAAGAGGCTTGTCTTTTTTAAAACGAACTCTCGTTTAATATAAAATCAAGTAGCGGTTTATTTTTTTGACATATTTCGAATAAAATGGATCACAAAATACATATGTTAATCAAAAAATCCATTTGATTTTTTTAGACGCGTTTCAACAGTTTAAAGTCGATTCAACTTTTACTTGCTCCAAATAATTTATTTGCTTTGATAAAATATGACTTCCATCGAAATTAAATCTGTTGAAATTGCTGATGACAAGCAAACTGATGATGATTCAGTCAAAAAGTTTGAAAAAGGTTGATAATTTCTAAGTATAATTAAGATATAATTGACTAATAATTATTTTGTTCAAATTGTAATAATGATTAAAAAGCGTCAATCACCCAAACGCCAAATCCAAAACAACCAAAAAAAGATACCGAGGACAAAGTTAGTCCTACTAATTCTGATCTTTCTTCATCATCTGGCCATTCCAGTCAATCTAGTGATCAAACTACATCAACAATTACCTCCGAAGATTCATTGGTAATCTTTACAAAAAAATAAAATTTCCAATCAATTAAAAATAATTAGGGATTTTAATTGATTTTGATTGATTGATTAAAAGACAAAGGAGTCATCGGATGATAAAACTACTAAAGGTGCTAGCCAAAACCCATCAATCGCATCAGTTTATGATAAAATCTTGTCACCGTCAACTGCCAGCAATAATAATAGCAATAATAAGAAATTTCAACCTTGTACTTCCATTTCTCAACCATATTTATTCAGCCCACATCCGATTAGACCACCAAACGCTGCCTCTCGTCTAGAAAGAATAGTAAAACGTGAACAACCAATTCCAATGCGATATGATTGTATTCCATGTATCAATGGGAATGTTATTTTAAAACCTTGTGATCATAGGTATATTCATAATATTATTTATTATTGTTGTTGTTATAATCGGTTATTTGATTTTTTTTTTGTTTTTTGTTTTTTTGTTTTTGTTTTTTGTTTTTTGTTTAAAGGATGTGTGAGCCATGCGTCCATAAATTACGTACCAACACTGTCAAAAGTTCTTTTAAAACCTTTTCAGAATGTGCATATTGTAAAAAGGTAAAATAAATGATCGTCAATCGCTTACAAAAAAAAAATAAGATAATAATTTTTTTAATTTATAAATATAAATAGCCTGTTTCAGAATTTAAAACAGTAACTGCCATTCCTAGCTTTCCTTCTAACCAATTAAACAACAACAACAACAATCAAATAAATTACGATGAAAAAATTCAACAATGTATAAATAATAATATTACCGAATCTTCTCCTGATGTTCATCCATTCACTTGGGCTTTCCCTGATATTAAACCATCATCAATTAATCAATCTAATCAATCAAAGATTGCTGGTACAAATTTCAATGATAATAATATTAGCAGCAATAATAACCCTGCCACTGTTAAATTACCATTGCAACTACAACAATCACAGCAGTCTAATCAACAATTGCAAAATTATCAATTAAATGAACTCACAAAATTAGCAATCCCATACAATTGGCCTGTTGTTAGGCTTTCGAACGTAATTTTTTTTAAAAAAGAAAAATCATGAGATTAAAAAATTGTATAAATTATAAATTATAAATTATTATTAAAACAATTTTCTTCGAAGATTCCGTGGGACGTTTCATCGAAAGATATTAAAACATTCTTTTCAGCTTTTAATTTACCAGACGCGTCAAACTATTCACAAAGTATCCACATAATCATGGATCGGCATGTTATTTATAATTAATATTAATAAAAAAAAAATAACTACTACCAAAATAATAATAATAAAATTGAAAACAGATCAACCGGCAAAACTTATTCTGAAGCCTTTATCGAACTAGTTAACAAAAATGAAGCAAGACGAGCTGTCGAAACTCGTAACTTGAAACCGTTAAAAGGTAGAATTATCACTTGTATGGAATCGACTCAAGGAGACTTAATGAAAGCCATATTTCCTAAATGGAAAGGTGAATTTTCTGGAAGTAATGCTATAGTCACTCAAACTGTTCTACAATCAAACCCGACCATCCCACATGTACCATTCATTACCAGAGAAGAAATGAACTCGTTGTTGGTTGTTTGTCGTAATTATAAAGTAATACTACCATTATTTTTATCATTTCCAGTCATTTTATAATATATTTATTTACAAAGAAAAGTTTTTTCAAGCTTCATTTTTCACGCAAATGTGCCGAACGTCCTTTTGAAAATATAATTAGTGTACTTGTCAAAGTAAGGATCACTTTCATTCATCATCGATACAATAATAATAATAATTACATAGTAATCATTGTTACTAACGAAAAGTTCTTTTAAGTTTCCATTTCATCAAGGAGAACTTTACACTACATTACAGCGGGATTTGTTATTTGAAATGTTGAAACGTAATTAATTAGAAAATTATTTTTGCTTTCATTTACAATTGAATTCAATGATCTAATGATCTGACCAATAATTTTACAGTTGCAATCGAATCACTTAAAATTCATCTAAGCAAAGAATACCATCGTATTGATGATACATTAATGGAACGTATGGTAAGAGAAACAAAAAATAACATTAATATAAATAAATAATACATTTTTATCAAGTTTTTTAATCAATTAATAGATGCGAGCAGGTATATTGACACCTGTTTTCACAGAACGTCAGAAGCTGATGGTGCTTCATGTTTCAGGTCTTTCACTTCCTGAAGATTTACAAGGTTGTATGCCCCCCTTTAAAAAAGAAGACGAACTTGATCAGTTATTAGAAGAAATTAACAAACTTGTATTTATTATATATTATATATATATATATTATTGCTTCATGAATGAATTTATTATAAGTATTTATTAAAAAAATTTAGGAATTCAAACCATCCTTTGATGATAATCTTCCCCTTCTTCCTCCCGGTGAATTGATTGATTTATCAAAGTCGGAAAAAATGCCTGAATATAAAGGCGTATTTAATCCTTTCGTAGACGTTATTCCTAGTGAATGTGTGTATTTGTCAGATTATTTATGAATTTATTATATACACACAGAATACAGGATTAATTTTGATGGTAATTTTGATAGTAGGACAAAACCAATTAAAGCCTGCCGCGTATGGATTTTGTTACCAACAATTTCAAACTAAATCACCACAACAACCAACGCAACCAAAATCTTTATTTCCCCAAACATCATTACAATATCCTTTAAAATCATCACCATCATATCTTTTAGCACCACCATCACCATCACAACAACAACAACCAAAACAGCAGGCATTGCCATATAGTTCTCCAATGCCATCGTCAATGCAAAATCCTTTAGCCTTTTCAACACACCGTCCTTTAAATCCATCACCACAACATTATTTTAAACTGTCACCGTATCCGTTTAAACAAGCACAATATCCAACATCATTTGTATCCCCGATTCAACCACAAAAACCCTCTCTTAAACCAACACAATATCCTCTACAACCTTCTCCGCATCTTTTGCCACCTTCAGTAACAGCAGTGCATCACAGATCTTTTGGTGCATTTAATGAGTGCGATCCACCAACCAACGAGCAAAGAAATATTGAGTCAGAAAGGTTTGTTTTTGTTTTTCTGTAACTGATTAAAAAATTTTTTATTTATGAAATTTTTTATTTGTAAGCTCCATAACTAGAAGAATCAAAAAGATCTTTGAAGAAAATCGGGAAAGAAACATGCCTAATCTACGCTACTTTGATCAAGGCAATAACCCATTCTTTGTTGACAATTCTAAGAAAAACAATGATTGATCTTACTTAAACAATATATATATAATTAAATCATTGTTTACTTATTTGCTTATTATTATTAACTATTAACTAACGTAAAAATGATGCAGAAAGATAAATAAAAAATAAAGTAAATTTATTATTTGCTATTACTGTATTATTTGATATATTAAAAATATAAATGTTCTCGGAATTATGTAATGGCGATAATACTAAAACGTCATGAGATAAATTGACGACAACGGACGACGACATGTATATATATGTGCATAATAGACAGATTATTTTTTCTCGATTGGAAAATTTTTAAAAAAAATGAATTTAGAATCGAAAATCAAATTACTTTTTAATGACAAGTTAACATCAGATTTAATAATTTGTGTCGATAAAAAATGTTTTTATGTACATCGATGTATTTTACAACTTTATTCAAAATATTTTCATGACGAATTTCTATCAACAACATCAACAACATCTTTAATAACAAGAAAATCGAGTACATCACCATTAGAATTGATAGTTGATTATACATGTTCCTCCAATAATTGTATAAAGGTTTGGTACGATTTTGATAAAAATGTTCATAATGGTAAACAAAATGAATTGTACTATGATCATGAGATTTTTGGGAGGTTTTTGGAATATTTGTAAGTTTTTCAATTGAATTGATTTTTATTTGTAATAATAATGTAACCTAAATCTTCTATTACTAGTTACAATAGATTGGATATTGAGAGTAAAACGGTAGATGAAATGATAGTTTTAGGATACTTGGCTAAGAAATTCGATGTACCAGATTTGAGCGAATCCATTGATGGTTTATTGGAACTCATGCCTTTATCATGGACCAAGAAAGAGAATAAGTGGAAGGCGTCATTACAAATTAGTAATTGGTTGGGATTCGAGAGATTAAGAGTTTATATATTAAAATTTTTGGTGAAAATGATTGACAAGGTTGATAATTATAAAGAAATAGATGATTTATTTAAACAATTGGATGAACAGGATCAAGTTGATATTGTGAAATTGTTTAATAATTATAAATATAATTATGAAGGTAATAATAATGGTAAGGATAATGATAATGATGATAAGTCTTGGAGAATTGATGATTGTGATGCGATATGATTATTGAAGAGACACGAAAAAAAGAAATGAATTTAAATGTTAAATGTTTGAATGATGACTAATATTTTGCATTCTTTTAATAATTGAAACTTTAATAAACATTAATATTAAGTTATATTAGACATTACATTTTCTTTTGCGAAAATTAAACAACAATTACTCACTGATAAATTGTTTTGTAAAAATAATAAAATTTATATTGAAAAAACTCAATAAATCTAAGTTACTTCTGACAGAAAAAATCGAAAAAGTTGTTTTTTTACAATTAGTCAAAGAAAACAAAAAGATGTCTAGTTGTAATAATAGCAGTATAGCTGGGGAAAAAAATACAGAGATCACAACTCTTTTATTCTTTAATTATAGCGACTATTGCGCAAGTTACATGCTTAGAATTGAAAATATCTTTATATTCAGAAAATCACCATAGGTAAAGGGAACTACCAGAGGAATCATACGAGTGACTGTATTGTATAATATGTCATCCAATAATGGCAACAGCTCATTTTTGATGCGTCCAGATACACCTGAAGCGTTGGACAAAATGATAAAATTGGAGAGAATATGTTAATAATTGCATCATACATATTCTCTTCGGATTTATAATCTTCGTCGACGATGAATGCAGTAACAAGTGGAAAGAGTGAAAACAAGATGATTTTCTACATGATAGAATTCAAAAAATTCGATTTCACTTGCTTGCTTTGGTTGAATAGAGATCCTATGTTCATAGGATAAAGTTTCTCCCATAGAACTTATTTAGACAATGTATTCGTAATTCGATATTATCAATAAATATTAATATCCGAAATCAGGGAATTACTTTCTTTTTTGGATTTATTTGTGCAACTATTATGGGAGTAAGTAAACTTTATTTTGATAAATAACCATCGTTTTCTAAAATAATGCAAAGGGAACAATATATTGTAAATAAAAGAGAAAATAAAAAAATTTTCATGGAAATTGCGAAAAAGATTTTTAATTATTATATGGAAAACAGTGACAAAAGTGTCTAAATTAATTTACATTGATCAAATTTAATTTATTTCTTAGAAAGTAGAAGAAGTGTCGATTCTGGGGTCACACTTCTCAATAAGATAGCAAGTAAATTATTCTTTACAAATGCGCAAGGTCCAATCTAATTTTGATTATTTGATTATTTTATTATTATTTTTACAATAAGGGTAGGGGAAATCACGTGGTAGATTAATAGTAACAATTTTTAACGTAAAATAATAATTCAATATTAACATTACAAATAGTAAAGAGTAAAACATTTCCCTGGCATCTTGAGTAACACCTGTGATTTTTGAATCTATATCAAAAACTGGCACCAGTTTTTTCAATGCAACTACTATTTTCTTATTTATTAAATAAAGGCTCCAGACTTTAACTCTCCATTCTTTTGAGATTAGATCCGAATTGCCCAATTAATTTTCTGCGGGAATAAATATTGTCTTCAATGATTCATTCCAATTTTCCAGATTATTTATTTGATGATGTATTTTATTATCATCATCTAACTTATTCACAATGTACCTTTGCATTCCGATTTGCTAGCAAAAGCGTTTGAGAACTTTTAGGTGATAAAGGTAATATGTTAGGACGAACATATGAAAAATAATGCCGAAATTCCATATCATCAACTGTATATATGACTAATTTTACACAATAGGTGGGTGATAATCCCGTCAATGATGATGATGAAATGTTAATAATAATAATAATAATAATAATAATAATAATAATGAATAAAATTTTTAATTTTTTTTATGTATGATCTATGTACTAAAAAAGAGGGGTATCGTTAAATCTAGTATATATAAAGACTATATCTAATCGAAAAGATGTGTAAGAAATCAAATAGATAATATTCATTTCTACTAAAAATATTGTTAGCGGGTTCATTAATATCGTATTTTTTTTTATATATACATATGCCATACATATGTATGTTTGCATATATTATCATCAATAAAATCAATCAAGTACAATTAAAATAAGTTGTATTATTCAATAGTAATTCATGTTCCATTTTTTACATTAAAAGATAATCAAATGAACTTTGTTCTTTTTTTGTTAAGGTTGGATAACCAGGAAGCGATGGAACACATACTTTGTCTTCACTTTCTTTGCCATAATATGTATGATATTATTCATACAGTTGAAAATTCAATCAGGCGTGTCACGTTACACTAAATTCCATGTGCACGAAAATATTTATTTCAACACCACATGAAATTATGTTTAAAACCTTAATTTAGATTATTAATCGATTATTAACATAAGAGCAAAAAATGGTTTTTTAGCCGTAAACAATTGATCGATTCAAATTACAGTGAAGCATTAATTAGTAAAAACGTGTCCTTTAATTTTTTTATATAAATGTGTAATTTATCGCAAATTTTGCACGAAATCAATCTTTGGCAATATGTGACCCTTTTTATTACTAATTTTTTATTTTCTAGGCTCACCCATTAAGTATTATCATCATTTTTTTTATTATATACAAATCGTTTATATTCAACACTACTTTTTTTCATTATTTCCGTTGATTATATACGTCTATCGAGAAAGGTGAAGAAGTTTTTCACTTTTTAGCTATCTATTTCTCAAATGGGATTAAATTTATTAAATTCGTCTTTTTGGGTATGTGATTTTTTTATTATTCGCGTAACAATTCTAATCATTAGAATAATGATTGTGTGATTTCAGGTTAAACTTGAAATATATCTACATTGGTGTTACGGAAAAATGTAGGGTAGCCGTCCTATTTATATGTTTCGAATTTAATAAAATAGACTATTGTATTGATCCAAGATGTGATGATAGTAAATAAAAATAAAACCAAAAAACTTACGTTGCGTTCTCAGTTGTAAGTGTGCTAATAAAAAAAAACATATCAGTCAGTAGTGAAATCGATATTTGACGATACCTTTTCCACGTGATAAACGTTTATCATGCAAATAAAATCTTTTTTTTTCCAAGCAATTAGAAGTTTGGTTTTAATATTTGGTTAGTGTGATAAAGATTACTCAGAAAAATAAAAATTTTTTTTTGAATCGCTCAACAAAAAATCAGCGAATGATTATCACTTCTAAAAACTTTAAACAAAAAGGATAACGTAGCGTAGTGTTGATTTCTTTCTTGTGTTAATGAAATTAGGAGTTTATCAGTAAAATAATTCCAAAGCAAGTTGTAAAGATTTTTCTTTATTTTCCAATACAAAGATTGAGTACAGTTCACTCTCTATAACGGCCCTTCTGTTTCAGCAAGAAAAATACGTCGTAGAGAGAGACCATCGCAGGCAGTATATGAGACATGTAAGATAATTTTAATTGGGCCCAAACTTTTCTCCTTTTACCCATTTTAGCATATAAAGACATGTAACTTCATATGTAGCTATTGAAAAAATTATTCAAATATATTTTTATCTAAAGAACTAAGCAATCATATTAATATAGTTGTTGATGTTCTTCACTAATTCTATATATTTATTATTTCCAAGGTAAAAATAAAACATTATTAAAAAAAAAAATAGTCAGTAATAAGCAGGATCTTTAGAAAATTTACTTAAAATGGAAAAGGACACATGATATAAAAATTGCTTTACCTGCTTATAATACTACACGGTGAAACTCAATTTAGCGGATTATTAGCGGATTTAAGGGTTTAACGATAAAATTTCGAAACAAAATTTTTCTATAGTAATAATAATTTTATCTTGATTTAACACGTATGATGATAGAACGTACGACAATATAACCATACATGGTCAAAATGAATAAAATTATGATTTTAAAAGTGTCTATATTTTGGAAAAAAATAGAAACAACAACTTATTATTATAATTAAAAACAATTAAAACGTAAATTAAAATTTATGGCTTGTAAAATGATTCGTGAAAATAAGACTTCTGACTTAGACGATAGGAAATTTTCTTATATAAAGAAAAGGAAATATTCACCTTTGCCTATAATCAAAAAAAAAAAAATTGAAAACATGCACTCACAAAACAGATCAGAAACAAACCCTAAGTAATGTTGTTATTTTATTATTTACATATTATATATATTATTTTTTATTAAAATTTTTTATATAACAGATATTACGTGATTTTATTATAAAATCCGCAATTCCAAATTTCTTGTTTTTATGGATAAATTTCTTGGGACGAACTTCATTGTGTATACCCAAAATAGTCGCACACTTATTATTATTATTAAAAGTATTTACATGTAACTTCGGCAAAAAACTATCAAAATCACATCGATCTTAATAATCCAGGGTCCTATATGACCAATCTTGCCTCATCCAGGGGGATGATAATCACGCGAATTTCCCGTCAGAATTTGTGGACGCAAAATCACGATTTGAAAAAAGATCTGTATTTCTATTATTATTATTATTATTGTTCTTGTTTTTTACGGAAAATATCATCAATCCTTGCGATGAATTGTTGACTCAAAATCATAATGTTTATAATTATCGCAGTTTCTATTACCATGTTTTGTTAACGGAAATATCTCGAAATTTATTAGTATTAATATTAAGTAAAGTTGATACAGTCTCTAAGCTGAAATTAATCCTTGTGATGAATTGCATGCAGAGGTAGTGTTATCCATATATTACACCACGGCCCAAGGAAATAGGATAATAATAATAACATATTACCCATAATAATAAATAATAATAAGGCAAGCCTACCGGAAAATGTCCGCATTGGGTGCAACATTCTGGCAGCATAAAGGGGTTAAAATCCTAATTTAGTAATAATTGTCTTTATTAAATATGTTCATTTGGGTTATGCGGCTAGCCCTGATTAGGATAAGATTTTGAAAATGAATAGGATATGGCTGACCACGCGTAAAGGGGTTAAAATCCTAATTTAGTGTTTTAGCCAAATGCTCATTTAGGTTACGCGACTAGCCTGACCCGAATTGCTAAAATTTAAACGGGTAGGATAATCCTGTAAACCCTAATTTTTTTTAATCATAAATTTT